GCGCCCTTATCGAAGGGATTAACGCGCTCTTGTGGCTCAAAATTGGTGACTGGTTTGTATTTGTTCTCTTCTTGGAATGTATCTAAAACGCTGGAAGATGGCTTGCTGCTGTAGCTAGCCGCTGAGCTGGCGCTAACGCTCATACTGCCCGCTGTCAATGTGGAGTTCGTTGAGGTGTCCGAACGTGCATCGTATGTCTTCTCGGCGACCAGTTTGGGTGACGGCTGTGCTGAGATAACATCGGAGGCGACGCTTGAAGTGCTGCCACTCACTGACTTGCCACCGCTACTGGCAAACGAGAATTGCTTGCCTAGAAATGAACCGGTACTGATGCCGCTTATGCCACTGCCGCCTGCACTGCCAGGTCCACCGCCACCGCTGCTTGTCTCGCTAGCTGTTCTTCCGCGTTTCTTGTTCGCTAATTCCTACATGTCACCAAATATCCCCGCAAAGGTCTTACGCAAATTCTTCATTGTATCCTCCGCATCTTCAACAACGGAACTTTGCGTTTGCGGCGGACGTGTCGAGACCCTCGAGGCCGACGATACGCTCGATGTCTGCGATGTTTGTGAATCCCGTCGGACCACACCGCCCGCGCTTCCGGGTACACTGGTCGGAGCCGGTGCAGTTGGCTCCTCAGGTACCTCGGAAATGCTGCTGCGACTGCTGAGACGTCCTATTGAGCCGACTGCTGGTGAAGTACGCTCGGGTATTGGTGGTGGACCGCCCATTGGAGCCGGACGTGGACCGGCGGGTGCCGGTGGTGTTGGTGCCATATCCTCGGTAGGACTCTCACCACGCGAGGAAATGGATGAGCGAGATGGTTGACGTATACCATGTGGTGGTCCACCAGCCTGTGCCATGCTTGGCCGACAGACGTTCTGGAATGATTGAAATGTTTGAGAATTGTAGTTTCAGTTAAGCTTTACATTAATTTAATACACAATGTACTCACTTGCATTCGTGCCGAGACTAAATCTGCGATCTGGCGCCGATCTTCTTCCTGACTATCGCCAATTAGAGCAAATGTACAATCACAAGCACTTATGATGTGCTCGCGGCCGTCTTTGCCGACCACCACGGATATGCCGCATACCTCCATGCCGCCAAAGAGCTCGGAAATCTGTGTATGTTTAAAAATTTAGTCATACAAGTTGCTAATGCATTATGCTGTGGACAAACATGCGGTTGCTGTGGTATACATGTGTTTGCAATTTGCAAATCGACCGACTTCTGTTATGCATTAATCAATTCCTGATTGCGGCCACGGCTCGCCTAAAGTCTCCCTCTAATAACAACTAATGATACTGTGTTTGCCCAAATCGCAACGCATTACGATTTATCGTTAGTGAGCTTAGAATGTTTATTTGTAGCTTGTATACTCGTATTTAATCGAATGACTGCGGTTCGCATTACAATAACCCCACCACACTCCTGCTGACATATGGCGTGTACATCGCTTGCTAATTCATTATTCAAAATACGCATCGTTGTTGATATGTGGCCACAACCAACACCCATGTTTGAGCTCATTTCAGCTTACCGTTCAGTAGTTCTAGCTAGAGATGTATGATGTATACAAATTTAGGATTGTTATTGGTTGTATGACTTACAACGATAACACTACTCAACAGATGAAGGAGGGAAACACCTGTGACTGTTGTGCTAGGAGGTCTGTGGGGTACTTGAGTTGTCGTGACTACAATTTTGACATTATTTTAGTAAATAGTGGTGTCTCGACCCCTATACCACTTGACTACAATACAAAAAATCTTACATGTTTAATATAATTTTCGGCTTGATGAAGAGTTTTCGGACACCGCCTCAAGAAAATAAGTCATCAAAGATTGGCATGTTAAGTTTAGACTTGGTGAAATCAAGGATTGTGAACGCAGTGGGCACCAAAAGAGGTTGTTACCGACGAAAACATCAAAAAWTTCMACAAAATAATTTTGGATGACCGGAAAGTGAAGTTGTTCAGGATAGCAGACATTTTAGAGACATCAAATTAATGTGTACATTATATCATTCACAAATATTTGGGTATGAGAAAGTTCTGTGCAAAGTGGATGCCGCGCGAACTCATTTTTGACCAAAAACAAAGACGTGTTGAAGATTTGGAACAGAGTTAGAGGGACAAAATCGCTGAAGAACGGCTGTATTTGAAGAAAATAAAGGTGTTGTTCAAACAACGCAATGCCAATTGCACTGTATTCTCCACAGTTGGCCCCCTGTTACTACTTTCTGTTCTCAGATCTCAGAAGAATGTTCTTTAGGAAAAAAATTCCGTTGAATCAAGTGATGATTGCCGATCGTACTGCAAAAATGGTATTAAAAAGTTGGAAGGTCGCTCTAATATGTTGAATAAAAAAAAAAAAAAATTTTGGCAAAAAAATGTGATTCGTTAAGTTTGGCGGGGATATTTCAATTGATCTGTAGAGTGAAATCTTAACAAATATGAAAGTTCGGATGTAATTCAAAAATTTATAACGTTTGCAATTTACAAAAGTTAAGGGCGCGGAAATATTTTCGTTAAAAAATGTTGGGAAAGAATTCAATATGCATTATTTGAAGAAATAGATATAACCACAGTCTAGACAAATTTCCGTCATATTCAAATTGTGCACTTAATTTCATTAAAATAAGAAAGTAAAAGCTCTCTAAGCTTCATTAAGACAACTTATTTACAGTGTACCACATTTCATAAAAATTCCAGTTTTTACTCAAGTTACCGCTTTCGTGGGCAAACGGTAAGGCGGTCTGACTGACAATCACTCAAAATTTAACTCGTCTCGCCATCTGACCATCTCACCTTAGTTTTAGATGATACAAAAACCGTTAGATGAACAAAACCGTAATAACATGCTGTGTGAGTATAAAATTTAAACTAATTTTATAGAGTTTATTTACTCGCTTTCAATTATTCATGCCGAGATATGTCACAGAGAATTAAACTACTGGTAAAACCTATCAGTTATTAATGTTGTAGACTTCAGTTGTAAGATGTTGACAACTCAACCTTAAATTTCAAAAAGGTTAAGCTGCTATGGAAAATTCTACACTCTAATATTTCAACCGCAGTTGACTTGCAATCCTTGATTTCAAGAACTGAAGCCGCTCGACCTTCCCAAAGGATATCGCTTCGCTCTATGGTCTCTTGAAATATTTTAAGAAGATTCGACGTTTTCGAGCCAAATTATGTTCAACGATGAGGTTCATTTCTGTCTCAACGGGTATATAAACAAGCGAAATTTCGGCATTGGGAACGAAGACCACCTGAAATGATTCAAGAGTTGTCATTTCATCCAGAAAAACCAAACGTCGGTGTAATCATCTGTCCATATTTCTTCAAAAATGATACCGGTGAGAACGTAACCATCAATGGCGATCGCTATCGCGCGATGAAAATCGATTATTTGATGCCAACTCACACAACACGCTTGTCATTGGCCTGTTACCAGTCGAAATGCTTGAAGGAGTCATCGAAAATTGGACTCAACGGATGGGCCATCAGATGTAACCACGACCAACATTTGAAAGAGAAAATCTTCAAAAAATAAATGCTAAAGAAGGTTCTTTCGAATGATAATAAACATTCCCCATTAAATTGGAAGTTTCAGTGTTACTCTTTAAAAAAGTAGGAAAGGTCGAAATGGATCGCCCTTTATATGCCAAAGTGCTTATGGCAAAGAAGAGATATAGGAAATTTGTATCTAAAGCTTTGAATTCTCAATTTGAATTATTAAAATAAACCTATAAAATTCTCAGAGCTGAATCACGATTACTGTTTAGCAGTTATGTTTGATGCATATGCATAATAAAGCAGGTATTTTAATTTACTGATGCTTGTTTCAATTTATTCAGATTGGCATTTACTGGTGTACATATAAAGTAGGTATGTTGTTTGTGCAAAGACAACATCGGCATTCGTATTTAATGTATTTTACATGTAAATTAAGCAGTAAAAACACAAATAAATGTACAAGAACATAGTGCACATAGTTGCATGACGCAATCAAGCCAAATCACTTTATGCCAAAGGTAAAACAAATCCTCATAGCCGATGCCAAGCAATGAAATGAGTCATTTGACAGACATTACCAATTTGGTGTAATATATTCTAAATATTATTAAACTATCCATAACACATACATACAAACAGACATTTTTATATATATAGTATATATTTATAGTATATATTTATAGTATATGAGCAGTGCAACTGGAATTGTTTTAGGCAAAGCGCCAAAGCACGTGCTTCTACATGGTTTTATTAGCAAAATGCCAGTCTTACCGCCTTTGAGTTGAATGCAGTGCGGTCCGGAGGCAATGGAACGGCTATTAAGTGCAGTGGGTGTGGGGTAGATAACGTGCAAATGCCTTGTTTTGGCAGCAATTACATGTGGAGGTTTGTATGAGAAACTGTTGCACTTGACGGCAAACGAACGATTTTAGTCAAAAATTTTCAGGTTTCCTTGGGTTTCTTTTGCCCGAACGCCTTGAAATTAATAGAGTTAAAGGTATTTAAATTGGTGTTGCAAATTTATTATTATTAATTTTGTTAAGAGCATGCACGCTTAAGTGCATTTTGATATATTGTGTTTGCGTTTGGTTATGACAACCTTAAGTGCCACTTGAAAATGTTTTTCGGCATACAGTGGCACGTGACATAAAGTGGCTGACGCTTCTTGTTTTAGTTCAAAATAATAACACATTTTTAATTAGTTAATAGTTCAAGAAATTATGCTAAAATAAATAATTTTTCATAATATTTTTAATTCTTACTTCAAATCGAACTCAGGAAAAAATATATTTTATGAAAATCTTTATTGGTCAGGAAGTCATATATAGGCTTAGTGATCCGATCTGCATACTTTTTTTTGCAGATTGTAGCGTTGTCTTCTAAAGTAACTTAAATCAAATTTCATGAAGATAATTTGTCAAATAATAAAGTTTTCCATATAAAACCTTGATTTTCATCAATCAATTTCCATGTCAACTCTATCCTATAGAGGTCCGACATGGGCGGTTCCAACAAATGAGAAGCTTCTTAAAGAAAAAAGAAACAAAAAAAAAAAGCATTAAATTCGGCTGCACCGAAGCTAATATACCCTTCACAGGTGCGTTTCTTTTAGTAACAATATGTTCAGTTTGTAGGAAAGCTATATGCTATAGTAATCCGATCTGAACATTTTTTCAGAGATTATATTATTACCTTAAGCAGTAATCTATGTAAAACTTCGTGAAGATACCACGTCAAAAGTTTTCCATACCAGCACTAGATTGTATGGCAGCTATATGCTATAGTGAGCCGATCTGAACAATTTCTTTCGATATTACATTAACAATAACTCATACCTAATTTCTTGCATATATCTTGTCAAATGTGAAAGTTTTCCATACAAGAACTTAATTCCGATTGTTCAGTTTGTATGGCAGCTATATGTTATAGTTGTCCAATATTGGCAGTTCCGACAAATGAGAAGCTTCTTGAAGAGAAAATGACGTTTGACAAATTTCAAAACGATACCTTAAAAACTGAGGGACTAGTTCGTATATATACAGACAGACGGACAGACAGATAGACGAACATGGCTAAATCGAATCAGCTCTACATACTGATCATGTACTTTATAGGGTCTCCGACGATTCCTTATAAGTGTTACAAACTTCGTAACAAACTTAATATACCCTGTTCAGGATATAAAACCTGACGAATGGACAGCCAGAGAGATGGACATGAGTAAATCAACTTTGTACGCCACGCTGATCGCCATATACTTTATTTTGCCTCCGATGTTTCGTTCTGGGGGTTAAGAACTCTGTGGCAAGCTTATTGAATTTTGTTTAGGGTATAATGACAGTGAGAAATAGTAGAACACAAAAGAACAGAAATAACATACTACAAGTATAATTATCATTTTGAGTACAGCAGGTTAAGTTACGTTASATGKCTKATCGAAGATCKCTTGTAAAGAAGAGSTCYTGTGTTCGAACTTATAAATTAGCAAAACGTTTGRTAGCCAATACAAATTTGCATAGGCGTTTAATTTCCATCCCCGCAAGTTCGGTAGGATGTCTGGAGGTATGTTCTACCAAGTGTTTAAGGATTGACATTCCAAAAGCGGKATAGTCAAGAAGGCAGTGTTGAGTTGTTTCCACCTCATCTTTCAATTCTTCTTTTGTAAATTCTGATAATAATCCCAACCTTACAACATGGCACCGCTGCCTTTCCTTGCTAGTTTATTAGCTTTGAAATTTCCTGCGATTCCGCTATGGGTTAGCCATACATACCACTCTCATTAGAAAACATTCAATGCTATTAAATAATAGCGAGATTAGGCACTCCTCGACCGACACTTAACACACTGTAAGTGCACTCTGCTGTCTGAGTGCATGGTCACTTCTCTGAAGGCGGTTGCACTCCGGAGCAGCAGATCTACTGCTACTTTAATGGCTGCAACCTCGGCWTGGAAGAATCTGCAATAGTCAGGAAATCTGAAGCTGGAGTTGATAGAGAGCTCGTAACAGTAAACCTCTACACCAACTATCCCACCCACAGCTCCCTCCTCGGTATATATATGGGCAGAGAGGTGCCGATAGAGTACGGCTTGACGACTCCATGATCTAAGTGGTCTGGTATGAATTGAAAGTGTGTGAGAATATCCGAGTGCACAGATACGTCTTCTTTTATTCTCTGAGTGTGATAGCCGTTTTCGCAGCCATATATCTTCCGATGATGTCTACGGGCCTTATGTACAAGATGGCGTTACGTGCTATGGTTGGAGTGGACCCTAGTACACCACATATGCTGATGAACGCCGCTCGTTTAAAAGTCTCGAGACATAAAGAATCCGCAAAATATAATGGGCTTGACTATGTTGTCWTRGAGCCAGAGCCAAGGAATCACTTTCCTCTRTAACAGTATAAGGCAATCGATACCTTTTTTGCTCTCTCTGCTATATTCAGCTTATAGAAAGTTTCCTATCCAGGATGGGCGCTAGTTATTTCACTGTATCATCTGGCAGTCATGATCCTCAAGTTTTTTAAGCAGGTCGTTAAAGATTGGGATCCATAGAACCTACCTCCACATTGTGAATTTCATTTAATTTGAAAACAAGTAAAGACGGACTGAGTTCGGGTGTAACCGAAAATTTTATACTCTTGGAACTTGGAAGGATCAAAGCTGGTGAAATACTTATAGACAGATATTGGCAATACTAGTTAAATATAGTTAAATGTGATATAAATTCAACTGGAAGTTCGAAACTCGTTATATTAGTTGGTAGAACTTTCACTCAGCGAGCARGGGGGAAAATTTGCCCGCGGTAAGGTATRCCTGTCAAAAAAGGCGACTAAATTAAAATTTCGTAAATCGTTCAGGATCTCTTTTTGGGCTTGCCTCGAAATTTCAGAATACTATTGCCAGAAATAGTACTATAATGCTCATTTTGAATTGTAATATCAGTTTGAATGAGATTTCTGAAAAGATATTTGAAATTCAAGCGAAAATGTCACCAGTTGTCATTGAGTTGGATAGGTGCTCAACTATTAGTTGCAAAAGCTAAAAAGTCTGACCGGAGACTTAAATGTGATATGGTGGAGAGCTGTTAGCCCTTGCAGTTCGGTCTAATCTGCTCTTTGGGTTTGACCCTTTGGGGAGGTTTGTGGTGGCTGTGGTTTAAGCTTACAGGCAGATAGGCCGGAAAATTCAATTCGGTGTGAAGTCGCACTTCAAAAAACGATGTTATAAACAAATCTCAAAACTTTCTAAAGGCAGTTCATATGATTATAAAGTACATTCAAGGTCAAATCTGACTCAGACTGGTTCATATAAAACTTTTGTATAAATCCAACCACCTTTTTCTTTCGAAGTTAGATCCTCTTTTGTTAAGTAGTGTATATTTGACAGGTATTTGTTAACGTTGTCAAACATTTGTATGCGTTTCCCCAAGCAGATTTTTCAGTTTTGAAAAAAAGTTACAGGCAGTCAGAGATTTGACTCTCTTTTCATATTTGACCAAAAAGTTAATCTAATGTCGGACTGTTTCGATGTTATATTCCTTAACCGACGCCGCGTCATGAGTAATGTAAAGTACGCTTGATGAATACAGGGTATTCATTTACGTTATCAAGCCCGCTCTCGCGACCTCTAAACGTTACGTATTTCGTAAAACTTTCAGGATTTGATACTAATCTAGTCAATATTATATCGCTTTATATACAAAACATTAAGTAAACTGAAGTTTTTGATATCGACTGCCAACACGACGCTTTTCAAGATGAGCTTGGGAGAACATATACTGTGACGAAAAATGCTCTGATCCAGTTCACACACTAATTGGCTAACTWATGWTACTTTTCATTCCCAAAATAATATTTTATGTCTGCGTTCTTCGCTACTGGAAACGTTATRTATTGGTTGCAAACCTAGTGCCTACGAAGGAGTAGCTCATCACTCACTGAATAACGTCTAAATACATTGTTTTACGATATTTCGAAATATAAGCGCTCCACGAACCTTTCGATAACGTTATGCCCCGCTAGTACAGAATTCATCTTCGCAAAATTTTGGCAATGTAATATCTTGTGTTACAATTAGCGAACATTAAAATTGAAACTGAGGGCCATATGCCGTTAACATTCACATTCTCGTAGCAATATTTGTAAATACGTATTAGAATGTACGCGGCACTGACTGTTTGTCAAATAAATCAATGGAACTATTAGTGCGCCGGCGGGGTATACAAGTCAAAACTGTAAATTACAGTAAATTTATGATCATSGTCTAAGCGGCTGCGACTAAACGAGCTTTGATACGCGCAACAACGCTTGAGTGAGTGCACTCGAGCTATGCGCGAGAGAGAGCGTGAAGCCGACAACAAACCGGATTTGATTGATGCAGACAATTTGCAAATTGCAATTCGATGAGCTGATAGCGACGCAACAGACATTCAACCGCTCACCGCCGTGTCTGAGAAGTGTCTCACTTTTTCCGTCTTTACAGCTTTTTTTGCTTAACAGTATATATATTTTGTGTGTGTGTGTGTGTGTGTGTGCTTTTGTGATTTATGCCACTCACCTCATCCACCCAGGACTTGTACTTCTCCGTTAACGTGATTTGCTCGAGCATCGCTGAGCCTTGATTAGTTTTCCAATGGCCTGAGATCGATTTGCGCCTGCAATGAAGATAGCGATAGTATTATATATCGGTGAGGGGAAAATATCGCAATACGATTAACAACAAAAGYAAAATACATTCATTTCACAAAATTGTAGCATAAATCACGAAATAATAAGCGGCACTTTGTGCTGACTTAAATGCTTAAATGGTATTATTATTAAATTACGCGACTAACGAGTTATTGGCTGGTCGGGCGTACCGTTGCAGCGGTCGGCTTCGGTGGCGGCACTTGATTGGCGGCAAAAGAGGTCTTTGACTGCCGTAATTTCATAAGCGGCTTTTGTTTTCATTCCGCTCATAATGCTGCTGTTGTTATTGTGAATTCATGTTGTTGTTATTATTAATATTGTGGTGGCATATCAATGCGCACTAAATGCTGTAAATGTTGTAAGTGCCGAGTGCAACCACATAAACGACCTGCACGTTCGCGCGCTTTTTTTAGGAGCCTTTGTGGTGAAGTGATTTCTCAAGTGCTGCGTGCGCGCCCTCGCGTAATGAACTTCCATTCTTTCATCGCACTCCTATTTACTATACAAAATCTCCGAGTGTCGGGCATCAATGCAAATGCAACACTACTTGCTGCTGATAATTTATTTGTAACTTATGCGGCGAACGCGTTGCTAACGTGTACCTGTGCTGGTGTAACTGCTGGTGTACAGTGGTTCAAGTTGGTTGAAATTGCAGTAAAAAAAAGAAGAAGAACTAATGCAAGATATATGAGCCTTATGAAAAAGGTACTTAGGTACGAAGTTAAGAAAGGTGGCTTACATAAGCTGAATGTCTCTTGATGTAGCTGGTAACTCAATAATCATTCTRCAAACGGGTCGTGCAAACGAGATTCGAAATTATTTGTGGGATTTACGAGATAGGCGGAGTAAAGGAAATGAAATTTTTTCCGTTCAATACAGATGAATTTTGGARCATTATTTGCTTGGTGCTTCTGGAATTCTAACTAATTTATTAAAGCTATAAATTTTATATTTTACTGTTCACAAATATTAGTTGGTTAGTTGATTTAAAATAATATCAAAAAATATGCTGAACTCACTCGGCCTGTGGCCAATCAATTTTCGCTCTTCTACAAATCGTTGGTTTTACTAAAGGAATAAGTTCCTTTTAGTATTAAGTATATTCATTAAACTAAAACTAAAGTTGTTCTTCTATTCTTCGAGACATTAACCAATATATGAAGATGCTGATCTAACCARTTGCGACTTCCTCATCATCCAGTGCGCTGAATTTAGGAACCGCTACGTAAAAAGGCAGTATGAATGAAAAGATCATAACAGCCTCGGATGAGAGACCCCCCTTTTGATGACGACGACGAAAGTATTAAGGATCCTCACAAAAATGTAAACTGACGTCGAGCTATACCAAAAACTTCAGCAGGATCGGGAAGGAAGTCTTCGGGTCGTGTCATCCCATATGACAAGATGACTTCCTATCGTAAAGAAGGTAMAATCTTCTACAAGCGTGTACAACTGCTGACGTACGTCGATGAGTTCGATACCATTGACCATAACAAACGTGCCGTTAGTTCAGCTTTCTCCCGGTTTGMGAAAGAAACGAAGMAAATGGGTCAGGTAGTGAACGAGGGCAATATGAAATATCTCCTGTCATCTGACCAACTGTCATCGCATTCACTGCTTGGCTTGTACGTTACTGTTGACAATCATAATTTTGCCGCCATAGTAAACTACTTTCTTGGAACCAGCATCAATACGAACAACAATATCAGCCTTTTAATCTAATGGAGTGATTACTCTTGTCAACAGGTACTACTTTATACTGAGTAGGCAGTTGAAAGAAAAKATCCTCTCTCGACGAACAAAGGCMAAACTCTAGAAGTCCTTTATCATTCCCGCCCTGCTTTATGGTGCGGAGGCATGGACGCTGACAACAGCTGATGAGTCGGCATTACTAGTTTTCAAGGTTCTGCGGAAGGTTTATGGAGTTTTCCATTAAGGAAGGATGAGCTGTACGAGACAAACGACAACATTGACATAGTTCAGCGCATTAAATACACTGGCTATGTGTTGTCATCTGAATGGATGAGATCACTYCAGTTCTGAGAATATTCGACACAGTACCCTCCGCGCGGAGTCTACGCCAATAAAGAAGAAGAATATCTATTCCGTTGGGTTCGTAGAAAGTATAGTAAGCAAGATTCTTTAACCTTAGTCTGGCGAAAGCTAGAATAGCGAAGATGAAAGTGCCTAGAGGTTTCCACTTTATCTTCCTCTCAGCAACAATGAAACAAAAAAAAAAAAATCATTGTGATGTGGTTCCAAACTATTGCGAGCTCTTCCGTTTATTTTCGTCTGCTCTGTTGTTCAGAATTGACAGGTACATTGTGATGTGTATAAGTCCAGTGTTCAAAACAGTTGTGAAATTTTTATGCTTTTTATATTTACTAAATAAATTTGTAAGTATTCGATTGGCAAGGAACCACTATTTTCGTATAGTTGACCTTTGCTGAGGAACAGTCGAATTGAAAAAGAAATATGAGACTGCTGGTGATCTTTTTCAAATGAAGTTTTTGTCAACATTCCTCTTTTTAAAAGGAGCAGAATTGGAACTTTTTGACACTCAAAGGTAAATCACGAATCGGTTTCTACCCTGTCTTTGCTGGGAAAATTCTAACTTTGAACGAATGGCTATTATCATAAATGCTTGCTGAATATTTAGCAAATTTTAATCACTCCAATACCAAACGGAGTTCAATTTCTATGTCTAAGAGGAGTATTAATTTTTTTAAGTTGCCGAGAATTTTGTTAGACTCCGCGGCCTCACTATCGATACCTAAACCAGTGTATCATACCGTGAGGACCCCAGCTGCTTACGGCGTAGTCTTGCTAATGCGAGAGAAGTGCTCAAGAGAGGCTCCATTGTTTCCTTGGTATCCTGCTCTAGATATTTCCTGCAGTCTTTTCGATCAGTCAGCAGCCATCCTGGGGGCGTGTCAAAACCAGACAGTGACTAGCTGATATCCCCCTCATGTTCGTACAATTTCTTCTATCGGGTGCCAATAGGATTTTTGTATACTTCCGATCTAACATTTGGTACATGGATTTTGCAGTTTTACACTCACGTAGCTCGTTCCAGCGATTTGTGATTTTCTTTACAATGCCTCTGTCGGGATCGTCGTATAGATTATGCATGTGTTTCCCAAAGTTGATCACGTTTTCGGATTTTAGCCGTACACTATTCTTGRCAGTCTTGTCCACTTTATCATTGTCCTCGATGCCTTTGTGGATTCAGTAAAAGTGCTCGTTTCTGGCAACACTTTCAACTGTTGCGCTGCTACCCAAGCCACTTCTGACCGATATGTGATACGAGCTTACTGCCTTGATTGCTGCTTGGCTTTCTACGTAGATGTTGACTCTGAAATTGCCTGCAGGTCATCTAGGCCAGCTCCGCGGCTTTCGCAATAGCAAATACTGCASCTTGAAATATACTACAGTGGTCCGGCAACTTAAAAGGTTGCCTTATGCCTAACTCTGGACARTATATTCCCGCACTAACTCCATCGTTAACTTTCGAGTCAGGCGTATAGTTGTTTAAGATGCGCAGTTGTCAGCGAAGAGGTCTGWAGGTGGCGGGTTTAGTACCAGTTCAAGAGCTGCCGTTGGATTTGTTCTGAAAGCTGCCGGTATGGMTGTATAAAAAACGTTTTTATTTAAAGAGATATCTTGAGGAAATTAGCTAAAACCATTTTYCACGGCAACGGTACAATCTACGAAGAGATGCTGCCATACAAACTGAACGCTCGAAATCAAGTTGTTGAATGGAATTTTTTTTCTATGGTGCAATTCAACTCTTTTTCCTGATTTTTCAAGCGTCAAATGTGAACCGCTATTTTTTCTATATCAGTTTGATTATTGTAAAATATTTGTGACTAAAAAAATTTGCAATCGTTTTAAGAATTCCGACATTTTTGYCACCGTACCATGAGCACCAACAAAAAACACCAACAGCCGCCGCTGACCACTCTCAGTACAAACACTTACACTTACCAACAAACTGTCTGATGGTGCGCATTTCAATTACTTTACACAATTGCATTGCATTGCAACGCCAGCAAGCGGCAGTTGATTTCATCTTGTGCGCTGGTGCTTTGCACTTTTTAACTAGCCGACCGACCGCTCAACCACTTAGCCAGCCGCTGATGAGTGGCACACAGAGTAAAATCAAGGTCAGCGAGTCAGCGGACAACTTAATCCATGTCTTTAGCGGTGGCCATTGACAGTGTTGATGCAATGCATTCGTGATTCGTTAATAGCATAATACGCTTGCACTCTTATATATACATACATATGTACATATGTACATATAGGCGAGTATGGCTAGTTACATAGTATTTTGATTGAAGATTTCTCATTTCATCAAAAGCAAAATAAAAGGAAAGCAAGTAATCGATGCTTTGCATTAATTACGCGGCAGCACGCAGTAATGGCWCACGAAATGTGGATTATATWCATATACATATATATTTTGSTTTCAAAGCGATCTGTGTATGCCTGGCTGACGTCTGCGCGCATACAACTCAATACARTTCGGTCTGTCTGCGCCACGCACTTGCATACAATAAAGTATATGCACATAATATATGTACATATGCGTGCAGTATATATGCACCAGCAAACACATTCATGCTTGCAGTACTTACATGAAGGCCTTGTAATTATTTCCGATCTTCTGAATGTGCACATCGAACTTAGCATCGATGTACGGCTCAATGGTGCAGTAGCAGTGCGCATCATTGCCCGAACCGGTGACAAGGCCGGCTGCATCTTGCAGAGCGCTYTGATTCTCCAGACGTGCGGTGGCCACACCACCATGGCAATGACCTGCCTTCAAAACACACGGGAACTTGGTCCAACTGAACTGTAAGCAGTAAGCAAAAAAGTCGAAAAATAATTCACTTTATTTATGGCATTATCAAAAGTAAACCACAAAATTAATTATTGCAGGAAATACCAAAATGTATTTATTGCAACTTACAAAACAAATATGAAAAATATAATAAAACTAAAAAATTAAAAATTTAATAAAAGTGTGGCTTTATTACAAATATGACTACTATATTATACTCTGCTTCATCTTTTCGTAAATTTTTTTATATATACATACGTATGTAAATAGCACACAAAAACAAAAAGCAACTGTTCGGCGGTGCTATAGCTATAATACCAATACCCTTCACTCATGCTTTTTTATAACAAAAATATATATTTAAAGATCTTTATCTTGATTTTATCGGTGAGGTTGTATCGAAGCTATTAGCTAAAGTGGTCGGATCTGAACAATTCGTTCAGATATTAAAGCACTCTCTTCTCTATTGGCGAAGACATCGGACTCGCGGCTATAGCCGAGTTTACAACGCGCGCCAGTTGTTATTCCTCTGTACTATTTGACGAAAATTGGAAATTCCACATGTAGGTAGACCCTCCTCCATCTTGTTTTTCCAACGGAGTGAAGGTCTTCCTCTTCCTCTGCTTTCCTCAGCGGGTACTACGTCGAGTACTTTCGGAGCTAGGGTGTATTTATCCATTCGGTCGACATGACCAAATGGCCAAAAATTTCCACAGAATCTTTCTCTCGAAAACTCGTAACGTCGACTCATCAGATATTCATACCTCCATAAAGCCGGACGGAAATTATGATTAACTTATAGAATTTTGTCCTTTTTTTTCGAGAGAGAACTTTGCTTCCCAATTATAGTACTGCCTTGGATACTAATCGGAATAATCTAAATTTCGTGAAGATATCTCGTCAAATGACAACTTTTTCCATTGAATAGCGATCAGTTTATGCTATATACATAGGATTCGAATATAGTTGCATTGGCGTGAAAAATAATTCGTGCAAAATTTTGCGAAGATATCTTAGCAAATAATTCTTTGTTTGGCGGCTATATGTGATAGTGATCCGTTCTCAAAAATTTCATCGGAACTTGTACCCTTACTTTGGAGAATAATTCATGCCAAATTTCATYAAGATAAGTGTCAAATATGATATATCCGTAGCAGTGTCATAKCTGTCCAATATCGACAGTCCCGACAAATGTGAGAGTTTTCGAAGTGACAAAAACGTTTACGAAGTTTCATATCGCCATCTCAAGAGCTAAGGGTTCGCGTATATACGAAAATACGGGCTTAGTTTCATCGATTCGGCTCATATAGCTGATCAGTTCTGTATATATATAATTTTAAAGATCTCCGACATTTTCTGCTGCGTGTCAAAAACTCTTTAGTAAAATTAATATACCTTGTTCAGGGTATAAAAAAAATGTATTTATTTAATGTAGTTTAAATTTTTGGCTTGCAGCCAGCAATCTAAGTGGTCAAAGGCGACGAACAGCGAGTGTCAGCGCATCATATTGCCACGGTGACGGTGAGTGCCTGCTTTTCATTTATTTCACCAAATTTCCACGAATATGTAATGGACTTTTTCATAAAATGCCAATTAGCCACTTTTCCACACATTTCACATTTGGCGCCCGTTGGATTATGTACGAGGGTGGATTAAAATATTTGTGTATTGCACAATTAAGAAAAAATTCAGTGTTAATGAAACTCTGCTTCCGGAAATTTATCAATATTTATGAATAGAACGCACATTGTAGCTCCTCATATTATAGGATTACTTTTTGCTTAAAACTGGAACRATGTAATTCTAGATCTCGTAAATCAAGAACTTACTGAGTTATGGGTAAACTAGTGAATGTAAAAAAAAAAAGAAAAAAAAAAACACAGAGAGCAATTGTCGACGAAATCAACCAAATGCAATTTTTTTTATCGTTAGAGTTTAAGGTTTGAATCTTTCTGATGATTGATCTATCGCAATTCATCAGAGGCATTTGAGACATCCAATGAGTGGATTTATTAAACAGAGCTAATATAGGATTATCCATTTCGAGATTCTCTACTATTTAAAAAAAAAAACACCGAAACTTCAAATTTAATAGAGGATGTTTGTTATCTTTCTTTGGTATTTATTTTTTAAAGATTATCTCTTAGTAGCCGCCGCTAACATTTGACCACGTCTCAGATGGTTCGGTCCAATTTTCGATGACTCGTTCGAGAATTTTAACTGGTAACTGGCRAATGACACACGTAATGTTTTTCTCCAAAGCCTGAAGCGAAGCGGGATTGTTCGCATAGACATTAGAAAACTTGAAATTATCTGCTCATCGAAGTGTTCTCTCAATAAATCCACTGTCTTATTGAAAGCAAATGTCACCGAGATCACTAGCTTCAATTTTAGACATCGAAAGGTCGGTTACCATGACTCAATAACGCTCGCCAATGACGGTTACGTTCTCACCGGCATTATTTTTGAAGAAATATAACCCGATGATTCCACAGGATGAAGTGATTTTCTGAATTAAATGCCTCTTGAAACTCTACAGTTTGGTCTTCGTTAAAAATGCATTGCTTGTTTATATACCTATTGAGCCAAAAATGAGCTAAACAAATTTTTGCTCGAAAACGTCGGATCTTCTTGGAACTTTTCAAGAGCCCATAGAGCGAAGTGATTCGCTTGAGGAGGTCGAACGGAATCCGTTCTTGTAAAAGCTCCATTTTGTACGCCTTCAATTTAAGTTTTCGACGTTAATTAGGTCAAGTCGTTCCATACGTCAGTCCGAGTTGCTGCGAATGGTACCGAATCCACCCTCCACAGTCTTTATTTCCTTCCTTCAGGCATTAAATTTTTATTCGAGCAAAACAGGACTAACATCAATCAAAATAAGATTTTTCAAAGTATTTACTCTTCAGCAGGTTGAAAGTTACCTAGGAGACTAATTCTATCATGACAATTACTCTCATAAAATCCATAATTAGATTAATCATTAATACAGGCAAAAATTACAAATGCCTCAAAGACTCCAACAGAGAAGTGAGATGTATAAATTATACAGTCGAAACTAAACTAAAACTTTAGAACTCGACTGACCATTACAATATTTTCTAATCTAATAAAAAATCTAGTCATATAAAAGGGTCTCTACATTTAAAAGTAATTTTTCGCTGAAACTTATACATGAATTTGTGAAACATCATACATATGTATATGGATCTAGAGAAAACATTTCGAAATCAAATTTTTGTTAGCAATATTTTTTTTTCAGTTCAAATTCCCAGACTTATCGAACTACCTCTCCTGCGAAATGTCTTAATTTTACGAAACTTGGTCATACTTTATAATTTCGTATATTTTCGTCATACAATTTTTTTCTAAATGACCTTCACATTGAAAATTTGCTTGATCAATASAACCATTCATTTCATTTAGAAATTGTGAGTACACTTGCGAGAACTTTGTTCCTCGTTCCTTCGCTAATAATAAACAAGTGTGTAATGAACTATATTTTTAGTTCGGCCGGTACACAGGAAAAGTGTGCAATTTCACTAGAATTTTTTRTTCAAAAACAAAGCCCATTTCGCCCGCTTGTTATTGAATAATTATTTAATGGATATTTCATAATCGGCTCATAGGTTTCTTAGAACTGTTTTCAGCAAATTATTTCCCATATTTGAATTGTTAATCTGCTTCCTGTTAGATCGAAAGCTCAATGTGGCTTAAATTTAATTTCGCAATACTATTGATTTGAAACATAATTTTCTTAGTTTTCTGAGTCATMTATTGTAGTAATAACTAATTTGTCTCGAGTTTTTCGATGCACAGATTCAACTAATTTAATGTGATTTTCGAAGTAATCACAAAAGGTATTCAAGATCTCACAATTAATGCCGATCCAATGCTCTCTATTCCCACTAATCTCTATTTAGGTTAGGTAAATAAGCTGATWWCTCGAGAGACTTGGAATAATCTCACTTAGGCAGCTAGAAACGCCTGTCTGTTGTGATACCCAGATATTCTAGGTATTACAAGATATTATTTAGGAAACATTGCTACATATTCTTATTGACGGAGCTCGAAAATGGAACCTTCGGAGTAACAGCTAACTGTTTCTAAWGATAATTTTCTTACAGCCCTCAATGCCAACATTGTCGCTATCCGGAATTAACTCAAATCTGACAGGCATATGAAAAGCTCTTTTAATATAATAAGGCCTAGAGTTAGGACATTTGTATGTTGGATTTTTACGATATCTTGTCTTTATAGTTCTATATTGTTTATTTGAAGTGGGTTCCAAAGTGCATATGCTTCTTAAAGTTAAGCTCCTAGAGTTAAGTCCTTTCTTCTAGAGCCYGACCATATAAATTATCATCCAAAACATGTTAAATCGTTACGTCGCCATTTACTCAAAATAAATAATCGCAACAATCATTGCACTACCGAAAACAAGAAGTTTAAATAATCCAATTGTAAAACAATAAAAATTAATTTGCATAAAGCTCACGCGGAAATTGATTCTCAATCTACTCCAATAAAACATTTAATGAACCACATAAATCTTCATTGTTGTAGCTATCCATTCATAGAGTAGACTTATACGATGCTTGTCTCATTGATAAATCTATACGCTGAGTCATGCCAAAGATTACGCCCGTCTTTATTCACCAACGCGCTCAGAAGAGACAAGCATACATTAAAGTACTCAACAGTCTTTAAATGATATTTTGCAGATACATACTAAATCTTCACATGAAGTGTAATGCGAAGCACGTGTTCGCCGCGCTTACGAATCGGCGAAGGAATTACGCGATGACAGTATCAATTGCTGTTGCAACGACACCGAGTTGGAAGAGGCGTTCTCATGACGAACTGGAACAATTGAAGCGTTCTAAAATCTAAAGCAAACAAACGTCGCCACGTCATAAGTAATTAGTGGAATTTCAGAGATGGGCACGGCTTAAATGCCAGTGGGTTGCCCACAACGGCAATACCTMAAGTTTTGATCGAATTTGCTTTTGAAA